AACTTATCTTCATTGTTGAATGTATTACTGATGTTCCTCCTTTTTTCGCTATTGACCCCCTCCTTCCCACTCCTGCCCCCCTCCTGCCTTTCCCCACACTGTTGTCTGTGTCCATTGGTTATCCTATATGCATATAAGTTCTTTGGTTTATTTCTTCCCATGCCTCCACCACCCCCCCCCCCCCCCGCTTCCCTTTCAGGTTTGTAAGCTAACAACCAATTTGTACTTCTTAATCTCTTTACCTTTTTCTCCCATTTTCTCTACCACCCTCCCATCTGGCAACAAACAAAATGTTCTCTGTATCTATGAGAATGTTTCTGCTCTTGTTCATTTTGTTTGTAGATACAATTGTTAATAGATAGGTATTTATTGCCATTTTGTTTCTTCATAATTTTTATCTTCCTTTTCCTCAAGAAAACCCTTCAACATATCTTATAATAATGGATTAATGGTGATGAACTCCTCTAGCTTTTTCTTGTCTGAGAAACTCTTTATATGTCCATCAACTCTAAATGATAACTTTGCAGGATAGAATAATCTTGGTTGTAGGTTCTTGCTTTTGATCACTTTAAATATTTCTTGCCACTCCCTTCTGGCCTGCAAAGTTTCTTTTGAGAAATCAGCTGCCAGTCTTATGGGAACTCCCTTGTAGGAAACTAATTGCTTTTCTCTTGTTGCTTTTAAGATTCTCTCTTGATCTTGAACCTTTTGCATTTTGACTATGATGTATCTTGGTGACGGCCTCTTTGGGTTCATCTTGTTTGGGACTCTCTGTGCTTCCTGGACTTGTATGTCTGTTTGCTTCACCAAGTTAGAGAATTTTTCTGTCATTATTGTTTCAAATAGGTTTTCAATTTTGTGTTCTTTCTTTTTTTCTTCTGGTACTACCGTAATGCAAATGTTGGCATGCTTAAAGTTGTCCCAGAGGATCCTTACAATAGCCTTCTTGGGGGGGGATTCTTTTTTCCTTTTGCTCTTCTAATTGGGTGTTTTTTGCTTTCTTATATTCCAAATCCATGGTTTACTTCTCAGCTTTACCTACTTTATTATTGAATCTCTGTAAATTATTCTTTATTTCAGTTAGTGCCTCCTTCATTTCTGACTGGTCTTTTTTTTTGCGCTCTTGAGGGCCTCACTGAATTCATTGATGTTCTCACTAAATACACTGAGCATCCTTACAAGCAGTGTTTTAAACCCAGCACCTGTTAGGTGGCTTATAACCATTTTGTATAGTTTTTTCCTGGAGTTTTGTTCTGTTCTTTCATTTGGAAAATTTTTCCTTTTCTCCTCATTTTAGCTGCCTCCCTGTGTTTGTTTCTATGACTAGGTTGCTATGTCTCCTGGTCTTCCTAGGGTGGTCGATTGTAGTAAGTGTCCTGTAGGATCCAGTGGCAGAGCCTCCCTCGTCTCTTAGCTGGGCCCTTGATGTGTACACCTCATGTGCATTTTACCCCCTTCTGTTGTAATTGAGTCTTGATTGCTATTGACATGCCAATGAGAAGGTTTTACTCAGGCTGAACAGCTTAAAGGACTGGCTCTGCCCACTGACCACTGACCTCTGACAACCTTGGATGATCAGCTGTGCAGGGGTCCAACACAGAGAGCAAGACTTACTTCAGCAAGGCTCTGGTACCCATTGAGTGTGTCACTTGTAGAGGTAGTTGGGTGGTGGTGCTTCGATGTGGTCTGAAGCTGTTTTCTGGGAGTTTTTGCTCTGGGGCAAGGTCAGCCGCTGCCTGTGTTCTACCCCAGGCCACCAGGCATAAGTTACAAAGTGATCTGCAGATGGCTGTTTCTTCTGCTGGACTTAGAGGTGCCCAGGCAAACCCAAATTTTGAACCAAGGCTAGCTGATTTAGTGCCAGGCCTTGGGCCACTTAACAAAAGGTATGGGGCTAGCTGAGACCAGATGCTGCATGATTGAGAGAAATTTAGGAAAACCTGAAGCCGGATCAAAACCAGGCCATTCCTATGGTAAAGCAACTGGTAACTTGGTGGGCCTGAAAGGTGGGTGTGGCAGGGTCTCAGGGAATCACAATGGCAGGACAGGTAGTGTGAGCCAGGTTGCTGGAGTCCCAGATATGGCTGCTGGCTCTTTAACTATGGGGTGGATGCCTTATTACATCAAGCCATTGATTAATATGGAGAAATGGGTCTGGAGGTCCTGGATCTCCTGTGACCTGATTCCAAACTGCCTGCAGTATGTCAGGCTTAAAGGACCCTGTGTCAGGCCAGCTCACACTGAATGTGGGTCAATTTAATTCACAGAAGGTCCTTAACTTTCGAATGTTTCAATATGCACCCCAATGAGGTCTTCTGGGCACTAGGGCTACAATTCCTGATTAGACTAACCATAACAAAGTTGAGGGAGACACAGTAGGGAGGCAGGTGAGGACAAAAACAAGGGAAAACACATAAGACAGAAATTTACCTTTCAACTGCCTGGCATCTTCCTTCAAGGATATTTAGATATCTCTTGGCATCTGGCAGGTTGGTATAAAACCCTGGTACAGATCAGGTTTGCAGGTGGAAACCAGAATGTCCCCAAAAATCTGATACTGCCCTTAGCCTTATGAAGTCATCACAGAACCGCAGGTAAGGACTCACACAGGCTCCGTAACAAGTGTTGTGGAGCACAGTCACTCACACACAATTACATTCACACACAATAACACTCCAGAAGTTCCTGGGAGGTCATCACACTCCCCTTCTGCCTCAGTGGCAGGCCATTGAAAATTCCTGATCCTGTGGGAACAGAATTTGAATCTCACCTAATGTGTTAGGGGGATTCCCAGGAGAGGAGAGGCTGTGCCACATTTGGTACTCTCACTCTCACCCAGATAGACTGTATTCTTGTTGTTGTTGTTTAAATATGAGGGCCTTGAGACCTAAGTACGTTTTTCAGGACCCTGATCAGAAACCTAATTAGGATCTTCAGGGCCCTGGAATGTCTCAGGTTGTAACCCCCATGAACACCTTTAGGTGTCTGGCAGCCAGACTGGGAGAGGCCGCTCATCCTAGATGTCTAACCCCTGCTGTCCCAACACACCAGGGACCTTGGTGGGGCCTTCAAATTTTGTAACGTGTCAGCAAAATAACCAGCGACACACAGCTGAATTGTAAAAGAGCACCTTATTCACCAGTGGGATGTGGGGGTCATAGTCTCCTCAAATCAACAGCCCTGAGCCTTCTTTGTTGCCTGCTTTCAAAGGCACAAACTACATAAAGACAAAAGAACAACTATATTCTTGATGCCACTTTTGGCACCATTAAGGGGGGAACTGATACAGAACGAGCAAGAGGGGCTCTTTACAGAGGACTGGGCATCCATTAACCTCTTTCTCTCCATGGTTTCTCTGAGTTTTTCAAAGCCATCATTAATCCTTTTCTTTATCTTTATAGTTTTCTCAAGACCTTCACATTTACAAAAAAACTGCCAGGATGTGTACGTGCAGTAAACTGAGGGTCAGAATTGAGTTACTTCAAAACTAAACATGTGTCCCTGTGAGTGACTGTTTCTGAAAGAATCATGAGCTTCTTTCTGTGGTGCTTCTCTTATCCTTATTGCTTTACTATCTTTTTTTAAATGTACAGACCAATCTGATTTTTGTTTGGGGGAAGTAAATGAAATATATATGTCCTATTGGGGGAAATATTTTATGGCGCATGGAGAAGCCAATCTCAGGATGGCAGAGCAAGGACAGTGGTACAAGACCACCAGAATGTGCTGGTATGACATAGTAATGTGCTTTGGGAAATCCTAGAAATTATTGGAGTAGGAGTACCCAGTAGAAAGAGGTAAGACTTCAACTATTGTTATCCATATACTGAGTAAATTTTCCCCAGGAAACCTACAAGGGTCTCAGAAATCTTGGTTTTACACAATCTCTATCAGCACATAATGAAGGAATCCAAGGAGACTGTGATCTCTGATGGGGGGAGGGGTTAAGAACATGGATTAAACATTCAGGGGAAATGAGAGACATCTTAGGGGGAAGACCAAGATAATCTTGAATTTTACCAAAAAGTGAAATTCCTTTCTGTGTTCTTAGAAGAAATACTAGTAGTATTTTCTAAGGTAAAAAAATTCAATTTTCCACAAATATGAGAGATTAGGAAAGTTTTATTATGGTAACAACAGACAAACAGTTCAAGTGGGCGGAGGCAGCAGTGTGCGGATGACCTGCACAGCAGTAAGGATCCCTGTGGGGTAAAAAAAATGTGGTGATACATTTTCATAAGTGTGGATTTACTTTTTTGATAGAGAGGAAGGAAGGAATAGAGGTCAAAAGAATAATATAGAACTACTTACTCAGCAAAATGATTATATTGAGGTTGGTCATTGAATTTCTACAGAAACATCTGAGTATACGACCCTTTGTTCTCTTATCTGTGGAATCTCTGTCTTTTCCTCTCTCTGACATTTCACTTGGCTAAATTCTCAGAGATCTGTTTGCCAGACAACTCTCTGTTCTTCAGTGGGCAGATGATAAGGAACAATCTCAGTCCTTCCGTAAAAACGCAATTCAACACATTTTCCTCCATGGGTATCTCTAACTATAGAATAAATAAAGGAAGTAGTGATTTCTCTAAACACATGAGCCAAATGATCATTTTTCTCCTAAAAGCAGAAATAAAGAAAAGTCACAGGCTGAGATTATCTGGAAATTGAGAGAGAATCTGGAGAAGAAAGGGTTACTGGGGATGAATAGAGAAAGCTTGGGGTCCTCCTCGGTTGGTCTCCTACCTTCCTTTTCTCTGTGTCTGAGAAAAAGTTCAGAGGACAGGGTACATCCACATTTTCTGCCTTAAAGCTTTACATATTGGGAAACTGTCTGTCCCCTGTTAAATCATTCAAATGTCTACCAAGGACATTTACTACACTCCTTAGTCCTGAGAGATGAAAACAGAGGGCTTTGACTTTGGGGAATGAGTTATATAGAGAAGGAGCACCCAGAAATATGCCAGAAATATAGACAGATATTCATTCCCTTATATCCTTTAATCCAAGTTCCAAATTAAAAAATCAATATTAAATACTGTCAAGATAACGTCAAGTATGTCTTTCTGACCCTCAGCTTCAGCTCTGGCATTCTGCTGCCTTTCAGCACAGCTTCTCTCCCTTTCTGCCAGGGTGCGCTCCATGTCTGCCTTTCTTATTGTCCGCTCCTGTTCATCCTGCAGCTTTCTGATGTTCTCCTCGTACTCCTCTCTTAACTGCCTTTTCTCCCTCTCCAGCTCAGCTCTGCTTTGTTCTTGTATCGCATGGATCAGTTTCTGAATCTCCACCTCAGCCCTTTGGAAAATCTGATTAGTGTAGAACCCTCCCTCATTCTCCATCACCACACACTGCACCATGTCCAGCTGGGCCCTCTGAGCCTCCTACTCAGCCCCTGTTGCCTTATTGTTGAGCACACAGTGGCGATCCCTGAACTCAGCCACCAGATCTTGGAGGACTTTAGGAGCTTCCGTTAAATAATCATAAAACTCCATTCCGTCCAAGTTATCTTTCTCTGTGAAGATGAGAATCATGTACCTTCTGGCTTTGGATCCAAACACCGTCTCCCATTTCTTTACCGCTTTATGCTCTTCCGACGTGTACTGGCCCATCTGGATGGCCAGGAGCACATCTTGAGGCCCTGGGGAGGTCAGGACGATACAGTGAGCAATCTCCCTTTCAGTGTTGTCAGCTGGTACCTTGGTGCACCATGTGCTGCTCCCTTTCTCACAGACCTTAGAGATAGATTTTGCTGAAATGCTAGAAATAAATGCTTTCTTTCTAAGGATGCTTTTCCCTGTGGCACTTTTCCTTGCTCCAGTCTTACCCACTAAGACAAGCCTCAGTTGTGAATTCCGAGAGTCTTGAGCCAGTCTCTTAAATGTGTTGGGTATGGTGAGGCCACAAGGAGCACGGAAATTAGGGACCTGAAAAAAAGAATTAATTTCTCTCATGTTCCTCCTTTTCTGTTCTCCCTCAAGTTGAAGAGAGGGGTAGAGAAGCTACCAGAGAGGCCACAACTGGCCCTTCTGATGTGCTCACATTGTGGGAAGCAGAGAAGAAGAAACCGCATGGGATGAGTGAGGATGTTTTATTCTCTCCTCCGCTTAGCCGTGATGCTATGTCTTGAGGAGACAGTGTAGAGGGTCCACAAAAAAGAAAGAGCAGAAGCAATGATAAGAAAATAAGGGCGGTTTGGTTCAGTGGTTAGAGCATCATCCTGCAGACCAAAGGGTCATGGGTTCAATTTCCAATGAAAGTCACATACCTGTGTTGCAGGTTCAATCTTCAATCCCATTCCAGGCCACATGAGAGGCAAATGATCGATGTGTTTCTCTTACATCAATCTCTCTCTTATTGTCTCTCTCTTCACCTCCCTCCCTCACTCTCTTGGACTCTGTCTAAAAAATCCAATGGGGAGATGTATGGAAGACGGTGGTGGGCAAAACATGAGGTAGGGTGAGTGTATTAGAGAGTGTGAGTGTATGGAAAGCTGGACATCCAAACCTGAGCAGTGCAGAGACATGAAGCCGAAGGTTCCTGTGCTGTGGAGCAGCTGGCTACCATGATAAGTGGCTCTTCAGGGCAGTTCTCCCTGAACCTGGTGGAGGCCTCACCATTTTGGAAGATTCTAGATCTTCTCTGGGAGGAGGCAGGGGGAGCCACTAGGGCCCAGCAACCTGAACCCACCAGCACACTAGGCACCATCTAACCAGTGGACACTCTGTGTCAACACAGACCAGTGCCCAGTAGTGGAGCTCCCCAAGTGCCAGTCACATAAACCTCAGACAGCCCAGAGCTCAGCACCATTCCCCATAGTAGCAGTCTGATCAGAGTCTAGATATACCTGAGCAACAGAGGCTCAGGAGGAGACATCCATCCTCAGGCAACAGAAGCACAGACCAGGAGCTGAAACCCATCCCCCAAAATTACCAATAAAGCTAAACAAGAGTTGAGCCCCACGAAAGAGCAGCACTTCCCAGCTGCCAGTGGCAGGACATGGGGTTCCACAGAGGTCTGTGCAGTCCAGCAGCCCACAAGAGCAATGGAAAGCCCAAGCCCCAGAGAGTCTGGTGAGATCCAGCTGCCCACCCGCTTGACCTGCAGGGTGTGGGGGCACCATAGAGGCCTGTGCAACCCAGCAGGGTCTGTGTGATCCAGTTACCTCTGGGACCTGTGGGGTGCTGAAGCACAAGAGAGGCCTGTACGACCAAGCAGAGAGTGTGAGATCTAGTTACACCCAGGACCTGCAGGGTGCTGAAAGACCACAGAGGCCTGTGCAACATAGCAGGGGCTGTGCGATCTAGTTACTCACGGGGCCTGTGGGGTTCTGAAGCACCTGGGGCCTGCGCAACCAAAAAAAAAACTGTGTGATCTAGTTATTCATGGGACCTATGAAGTGCTGAAGCACCAGAGAGGCCTGTGTGACCTAGCAGAGACTGTGCAATCTAGTTACCCATGGGGCCTGTGGGGTGCTGAATCACCAGAGATGCTTGTGTGACCCAGCAGGGACTGTGCCGTCCAGTTACTTGTGGGACCTGCGGGGTGCTGAAGCACCAGAGAGTCCTGTGTGACCCAGCAGGGACTGTGCCATTTAGCTACCCATGGGACCTGTGAGGTTCTGACACACCAGAGATGCCTGTGACCCAGCAGCCTTTAACATAGGCATAGAGCCAGTCCCCAAAGGGACTGTGCGATCCAGTTACCCACAGGACCTGCAGAGTGCTGGGGAACCAGGAAGACCTGTGCCACCCAGCTGCCCACCAGATTGGCATAGTGGTCGTAAAAAATGAAGGTGGAGTGAATAGAAGATACGCAATCTCCCAGGACCAAATGAGAATTACACCTGAAATAAAGACAAATCCTCAGAAAAAAGCAACAGAAAAGCAGCATGACAGGACCACATAATGAGGGACACTGGTAGGATCTGCAGAGGCATGAGAGCGTGGCAGGCTGGGAGCCCATGGACATCAGCAGTCTTAGTTCTGAGCAGTGCCCTTGAAAAATAAATACCAAGCCCATTCCACAGTGCAGAGAGCCAGAAAAGAGTGCTAAAATAGCCACAGCCACTCACCTGAGGGCTATGGGACAAGGAGAAGACTGGGCTAGAACTCTGTGGGGACACCCGAGATTTGGAGGGCACTCAGAGTTTTTGCTGAGTTGCAGCCACAAAGAATGGTGGCCATTGTGCTCATTCCCAGAGCTGTAGAACAAAGCAGCAGCCCCACCCCCCTACAAGATTCAGACTTTCCCAGGTGAGGCAAAGAAATGCAAATTGAGGCTCATTAACAACCAGCATCTATCCGACCCTCTGGAAATCCTCTTATGCAGAACACCAGGGCTACATTCAAAGGCACTAAGTAATTGAGAGTATTAACCACCAGGAAAAAGCTAGAGGATAACTGAACCTATCCTGAGTTTGCAAATCTACCCAGGAAAGTAAGAACTGACAGTGGTGTTTAATGTGGGCCCACCCAGGCTCATCCAAACCCAGCAGAGGGAGCCACAAAGAGCAGAACACCAACACCAACAGGGAAAATTTGGCAGGCTCCAAAACTCATGAAGATAGCCAAAATGGTGAAACAAACAAACAAAAAAAAACAAATCCCAAATGAAAAGCAGAACTCTATCAAAGAAGAAATCAATGAAATGCAGCTAAGCAAATTATCAGAGGTAGAGTTCAGAGATATGATCTTGAGGAAGGTCAACCGCATGAGTAAGGACATCAGCACCATGAGTAAAGACTCAGAAACATTGAAAACCAACGAAGTGGAAATGAAGAATTACACAGCAGAAATTGAGAACACATTGGAAGGACTAACCAGCAGTGTAGAGGAAGCTGAGGAGCGGATCAGTAAATTAGAAGACAGGGTAGAAAAAAAGCAACCAATAAGAAAAAAAAAGTAAAAAACAATGTAAAAACAGGAAGACAGCTTAAGAGAACTGTGGGTAAACTGGAAACGTAATAACATTTGCATCATAGGATTCCCCGAAGAGGAAGAAAATGGGCAAGGGTTAGAGAATACATTTGAAGAAATAGTGACAGAAAAGTTTCCTAACTTGGTGAGGAAAGAAGGCATTCGAGTTCATGAAGCACAGAGAATCCCAAGTAAGAAGAACCCAAACAGGCCCACATGACGACACATTGTAATTAAAATACAAAAAATTAAAGACAAAGATAGAATCCTAAAGGCAGAAAGATAGATGACTTACAAAGGAAACCCCATAAGGCTCTCAGAAGACTTCTCAACAGAAACACTACAGGATAGAAGGGTGTGGTATGAAGTAATCAAGCTCACGAAAAACAAGGATCTGAATCCCAGACTACTCTACTCAGCAAGGCTGTCCTTCAAAATAGAAGGTCAAATAAAAAGCTTTCCAGAAAAAAAAAAAAAGGCTGAAAGAATATATTAACACCAAACCAGCACTGCAAAATATGCTAAAAGGACGTCTGAAATTAGTAGAAGAACTAGGAAGAAAAATAGAACCACACTAATCAAAAATGGCAATAAATGAGTATATATCAATTATCACATTAAATATAAATGGTTTGAATGCTCTGATAAAAAGACACAGAGTAGCTGACTGGAAAAGAAAGCATGACGCACATATATGTTGTTTACAAGAGACCCACTTCACAACAAAGACTCACATAGGTTGAAAGTGAAGAGATGGAAAAAAATATTTCCAGCAAACAAAAAGAAAAAAAAAAAAAAAAAAAAAGCAGGGGTAGCAATTCTCATATCTGATAAAGTAGATTTCATAATGAACACCATAAATAGAGACAAAGAAGGCCACTACATTATACTGAAAGGATCTATCCAACAGGAAGATATAACCTTGGTAAACATATGTGCACCCAATATAGGAGCACCAATGTATACTAAAAATATTTTGGATGCCCACTTTCACCACTCTTATTTAACATAGTACTGGAAGTCTTACCCACAGCAATCAGACAGGTAGAAAAAATAAAAGAGATCCAAATTGGAAAGGACGAAATAAAACTGTCTTTATTGGCAGATGACATGATACTATACATAGAAAACCCCAAAGACTCCATCGAAAACTTACTGGAGTTAATAATTGAATTTACCAAAGTAGCAGAATACAAAATAAACATCAAAAAATTGATGGCATTCTTATACACCAATGATGAACTCGCAGAAAGAGAATCTAAGAAAACAATTGCATTTATCATTGCAGCAAAAAAAATTTAAGATACCTAGGAATAAACTTAACCAAAGAATTAAAGGGCCTATTTGCAGAAAATTAGAGGTCATTGATAAAAGAAATAGAGGAAGATACAAAAAAGTGGAAGCACATACCTTGTTCATAGATTGGAAGAATTAACATCAATAAAATGTCCATACTACCCAAAGCAATCTATAGATTCAATTAAATCCCCAACAAAACACCAATGACATATTTCACAGAACTAGAACAAATACTTCAAAAGTTCATATGGAACCAAAAAAGACCTCGAATAGCCACAGCAATCTTGAAAAAACATAGCGAAGTTAGAGGGATAACATTACCAGATTTCAGATTACACTAAAAGCCACTGTACTCAAAACAGCCTGGTATTGGCACAAGAACCAGCATATAGGCCAGTGGAACACAACAGAGAACCCAGAAATGGACCCAAGGCAATATGCTCAATTAATATATGACAAACGTGGCAAGAGCATACAGTGAAGTGAAGATAGCTTCTTTAATAAATGGTATTGGAAAAATTGGACAGTTACATGCAAAAAGAAAATTATGGTAGACCATCAACTACACCATACACAAGAATAAACTCAAAATGGATAAAAGACTCAAATGTAACTCATGAATCCATTAAAATCCTAGAAGATACTGTAGGCAACAAAATTTCAAACATCATACACAGCAGAATTTTCACTGCTACATCACCTAAGGCAACAGAAACAAAAGAGAAAATAAACACATG